CTTTTTCGTCAACGCTAATTTGCCAGTAGCCCGAGCGCATGTCAATCGACGAAAAATAGTTGGCGTCATGTAGCGTATCAAGGGCGTCATCGATTCGGGGAAGGGGATAAACATCTTTTTTGGTAATTTTGTTGAGTCGTCTGTAGTCAACACAAAAACGCCATGTGCCATCTTTCTTTTTCACAAGCACTACGGGAGAAGACCAGGGACTTGCGGATTCTTCAATTATATTTTGCTGTAACATGTCACTCACGTGTCTCTGGATGACTTCTCGTTCTGAACGTGAAACTCGATACGGACGGCTACGTATGGGTTTTTCTGTTCCAGTATCGATAGTGTGTTTTGGCCGCAGTACACGTTATAATTGTCATAGGTAAAGCAAGTCCCTGGTCTATATATATATATATATATATATATATATATATATATATATATATATTTGTGTTTTGTTTTTTTCGATTACAACATGCGGTTTCTTTTTTTTTTGTCTTCAATATCTTTATTATATCCTTTCCTGCCTCTTGTTTTCAACTCCGCCATTCGATACGGGTAGTTTCCAAGCGCTGTGCGTGCTGGTTGATGACCTCACATTTTAGTAGTTTGGTGCTGTTTTCGAGCGCTCGTGTGACCACAGGATTTGCCTACTCTGCTGTTTACAATCAAAAAGTCAGGATCCCAAAACGAAATTCAGCATCTACTTGCACTGCTCCCCTCGTTTCCGCTGCAGGGTTTCTGCTGGCCACTTTCATTGCAGTGCTGCACGTTAATAAAGATGACGCCGAGTTTAATGCACTTTTGTTTTCGTAACCACTGGAAGCTGTGTACTGTTTGTTCTTTTTGCCTAATGCAGTATATGCACGGGTGGCCGCAGTTTAAGGTTGAGTTATAAACCGGTGTGAACCGGTTCGCTCTTACTGAAACCGATTACCTAACCGATAATTCTAATACGTCACTTAACTGGAGCCGAGCATAAGCAAAATGCGAAATTACTGAACTCAAACCCGAACCGAGCCGAAATAATGACCGATTCCACGCCCTGTGTAAAAGTGCCCTTATATAACTCATTATCATTATCTCACCTGAACTACTTTAATGAGCTCGAGGTACGACAACTAACGCTATTCTGCAAGAAATGTTTTATTGCAAAAATACTAAGAACTATCTGCAATGGTCCTATAATTTTCATACCAATGTATACCAACATTATGGTTTTAGGTTTATATACATAAAGGTTTATACTTGTTGTTTTATATAGAAAGCGTAATGTTTGAACAAATATACCACATGGGAAGTAGTTCTGTATTGCTTTTAGCTTCCATAAGAGAAAACGAAGCAGCATATTCTAACCGCTGGCCTTTTGGTTAAAAGAAGCGTCACACAAAGCTTATTGTTCTCAAAGGACTTAAAGACCATCATCTTCATTAAAAAATATATTTATGTGCATGGTAATACATAATTTACTGTGCTCAATCTCGGGGTATTTTTTTTTTTTTTTTTTTACTTTTGAACAAATGTAAGTGCTCTTTATTGCTTAGTTAATATTTTTGACTCCACTGTTATGGAGAAAGTACCTTAATATATATAATTCCCATCGTACGTTTTTTTTTCTCTCATTTTGCCGCAACTCTGGACCAGTAAAAAGGGGGGGGGGGGGGGCTGAGAAACAGTAATTTTACTTGCGAGCATATTTCCCCAGCTCACCCCATGCTTATTAGAGTAAAGATTTTGATTAATATTTCCCGTATTGTGTTCCAGCAATACACCTGTTTATGACGCATATCACTCGGACAGAATTATCGAGTCCTAAGATTTGGAAACATGCGTGGCGCCTAGATATTTCGAAAAACCTATCTTCCTTGCATGCTCAAGATGCGTTCCACAGCCGAGTAGACAAAGATGGCGGCGCGTATAAGGGGAGGAAAACGGAGTCGTGCCCTATCGAAAAATCTCATTTGTATGAGAAATTTCTGTGTCCAATAAACACATATGAACCATACAAGATGTGTAAGAACATATAAGAACCGCAAAAGAGCCATAAAAGAACCATATAAGAACTATATAAGATATATAAAAAAACATATAAAAACCACATAAGAAACTTAACAGCAGTTTCTTTTAACTTTCTTATATGGTTCTTATATGTCCTTATGTAGTTCTTATTTAGTTATTTTATGGTTCATGCTTGTTCGTATATATCTTGTATAATTCATATAAATTTATTGGCCACAAAAAGCTTTTCATACAAATGGCTTTTTCACTAGGGTTTATACAGAGAGTTTGGCCATTCATTGGGAAGCATAGGAGTCAAATGAGTAGACGCCATTGGCCGAAAGCATGCTGGGCGTGTTCAAATGTGACCAACCAGAAGCCTGAAATAATACCCTGGCGGTTGTCGCGAGAAATAAAATTAATAAGTTCCTCGGAGTAACTCTTGGTGACTGAAAGTATGGTGCACGTGATGTTTCAATCACGGTCATCCAGAATCGCGCAGGAAGGGAGCGACTAGTGTAACTACCAACGTGATCCGTATGCCAGGCGCCGAGCGCCGGAAATCTGTCGTCCGAGCGGTCACACTCTGTTCAAGCAAAACAGAGTTCGAGCGGCACATTCATTTGTTACATCTTTCTGCGTGATCGTAATCGAAACATCACGTGCACCCTATTTTCAACCAGGAAGGGTTACTAGATTTAACTCTCACGCGCTTCTTATGCGCTTATTAAAACCACATATCTATGATTAAAACAGTGTCTCGTTACCACCGCTAGAAGATTCTTTTCGGCTTCTGGTTGGCTAAGAGAGCATTTCAAGCCCTCTTTCTTCGTCTGGTGCAAGCCCTGGATCTACCCACTCCTCCCATTGACCAAACTCTCTCTATGTGTGGCTCTGGAGCAGTAGAATGGGAACTATAACGTTTCAAAAATGCTCGGATGAAAAAAAAAAAAAAAAAGAAAGGATCGCCATAATCATTTGTTCATTTTATCTTCGTTGTGCGCATTAAAAATGTTTGCACTATTTTAAGACTTTACATGCACATTTCGTAGCAGCCCGGCTTTCGGGCGCCTATAGACCCCCCTCGAAAGTCATGTGCCGATTCTTAGAGTGTTGGACCCACTGCACAATGGCGGAACAACTGTCATCGTGAAACCTGCAAGCCATTCCGTAAGATAGCGAACGTCGGAGCCTGGCGAGCGCTAGGAGCCGACGAGACAATCAAACATCGTCGAAAGTGCAACGCCACTGCGCTCATCACTTTTTTTTTTCTGTGGGTGTGTTTTTTTTTTTTTTCTTCTTCTCTAACCCAACGTATTAAGTGTGCCGTTGCGTTGCGGTTTTAGTCCGCCATGGTCAACGTTACTAAAACACTCAGTTGGGAAACTCGCCGTCGAAACCTGGGTCGCTGGCGTCCACCGAGACCGAGCTAAATGCGACAACAGCGCCACTCTTTATCGTTTGTCTGTACTGTGGTCACCTTGAGCTTTTTGAAAGCCTGTTTTTGCGTAAAAACAAACGGAAAAGACTCTTCTTGTATGAAATTTATTGGAGTTTAGTACCAAATGATGGGCGCGTGATGTTTTTATCATCTTTAGTTCGCAAGGCTTTGAGGAACAATTAATATTGTTTTTATACAACCATGCCTCAGCGGGCCTTTCAGGTAGCACGTCCTGACCTACACTCTCAAGAAAAAAGGGTGTCAAAAGGTGTATACTTACACCTTTTGTCCCATATAATACACCCCCAAACTTCAAATCGACGTACTGCGCCCTACAGTCAAACAGACGGCCTGAAAGTTTACGAGGAACTTGATAGCCGTGTGGTACAACTTATTAAAATAGCTAATGTACGTTTTATTGGCAACAAAAAAAATAATCGGGGTTTTCTTGGCCCCACTGTAAAAACTCGGTGTTTTCTTTATGTGGACTTTGATACGTACTTTAGCTATATAAAATGTTGTACCACACGGCTATCAAGCCCCTCGTAAAATTTGGGGCCGTCTGTTCGACTATAGGGCGCTGCACGTCGAATTAAAGTTTGGGGGTGTATTATATGGGACAAAGGGTGTAACGATACACCTTTTGACACCCTTTTTTCTTGAGAGTGTAGGTGCATTTTAACTTCGGTAGTTTGACGCGGCGCGTCCGCCGGGGAGACGGGGGTGGCACCCCGCTGTATCTGTGCTTAAAGCCAAAATAGAAGTCGCGTGCGGTTCCTCGAGTGGCCGCTGCGGCAGAAATGGTGGCGTTGTGTTCGTCATTAGCTCGGTGCTCGGAGACAAATTGGGGCCACTTTCTCAACTGAGTGTTTTAGTAACGTTGGCCATGGTGTAGGGATTCCACTGCTGCCAATAGAGGGCAGTCTTTCAAAAGCAGCCTATAGACCTTTTTTTTTAATTTTCGTGTAGGCCGCCATATTGAATTCTGACGTGGCTGAGTTTGGAAAAAATAGTAAATCAAATCGTTTGCCTGTTGGAAAATGATAGAACTCAAGAGGTTCCTGCCAATAGTTCTACTTTTTCTTTTCTTTTTCTCGGCTATACATTTCTGTTATAATAGTCACGCTTACACTATTTAAATTTCGTCCCCCCAACCCAAGTACGTCGTATTTTAACGTGGCTACCGTAATACGAAAGCGGTCTATACTCCTTTTTGCAATAGGCCTGACCACTGCCGACTGTAGGATCTGACTCTGGGATCCATGGGATGCTAGCGTCGGCTGCAATCGGGCTTAAGGTTCATTCACACTGCCCCATTTTCTTGCGTTAAGTTACCTTACGAAATTACGTTCAATTAAACGGGACCTTTGTGCTTCATATTAAGCGAGGCTACCATCTCAAGGAGAAAGCATGACACGCGACATTCAAGACTCGAATGTTTCGGTGAATTATACGTAACGTAACTTAACGTAAGAAAATAGGGCAGTGTTAACCAGCCTCTAAAGTGAAATGGAGTACAAAAGTCAATCTCTCCGGTTTCAGTCCGCGTATCGTAGGTAAAAGGGCTCACCCACAGCCCGAGCTTCTGGAATACGATGATTCGAAGTAAAGTGACGCTTCCTTGATTGCGATGCCGTAGTAGTGGTAGCGGGACTGACCCCTGGTGCCCAGCCTCCTTGTGGTCAGCTGCGGAAACTGCTGCCGGATTATCTGCGAAGCAAAATAAAGCACGTAGTACTTCAGAAAAAACGGGCTGCACTTTGGTTCACCTTGAGTCTGTATCGTATAGCGCTATACAAGATAACCACACGGTGAAGCGAAGAAGTGCTCGCGCTACGAACGCGAGCGCGCAAGACTCAGGTTTCTCGGTCCCATCAGCTCGTAGAGCTGATGGCACCAAGCAGATAGCTCCAAATCCACACCGTCATGACATTCGTCATGCTTGGGTACGAGTTTCAATCATCGTTGAACCAATTGCAAAAAAAGTCAAGTTACTCGCGCTTTTGACGTTTCTTGATTGGTCCCATCACTGCGTTGCGTCGGCTGCGTCTGGTCAAAGCTAGGATTCCGTGTTTCCAAAATTTATTTATCTTAAATAAATCTAGGTAATTTTTTACTAAGAATGTTGGCTTTACCAGTGTTTTTTTTTTTTTTTTTTTGTTATATTTCCGATTCTCCGAAATTCTGAGTTAATTTTACTGTTCCAAAGATTTAAAATTTGAAAACAAAATAAATAAAGCCCGGGTGCCACGACCCATCGTCGGAAAGGAATCTTGACAAGCTAAAAGACAAATCCCTATTACAGCGAAGCTGTTATGTGCTAGGATCTGGAAAAAAAAATGCGTCCTTGGATGTTAACAAAAAAATTCCCGTTTAAACGGTGCTCCTTCGCTCCGATTGGTCGTGGCAAGCACTAATAAAAGGAGGGGGCAAGCCCCGTGAGTCAGTCTTCCTTGGGATAATTAGAAAGTGAGGTCCTGATCCCTTGTTAATATCTACGGTCACCGACTTATGTCAGCTAAGAGTGCGCTGGGACGGGGCTGAAGGCAAAAAGTGACGATCTAACATTTTTTTCTTTCGCTTCCGCGATGCTGATAAAGAGACTTGGGCTCAATCGGAAAAAAACTATCGTCGAAGTGTGCCTCAAAAAGTTGGGTTTAGATCTTACACCACCGTGGATTGAAAAACGTCATCGCTTCTATGTATGCATATGTGTCTTTAAAACGTTATCAACGTCTGTATAGTCAGCATAGACTAGATCTGCGACACCGACCCTCCTATAGAAGAACAGCTTTCATGCGCTTTCCCACATTGCACTGTACTCCATGTGGAACTCCTCACCTTTTGGGGAGCATTGGAGGACGTACAGCACACAGCCTTCACTGACAGAGACGCGACTTTCCGACACCAATATAGCCTCTTAACAGACTCCTTCACAGCAGTGCAGGAACTATCCTCCTCCGCCACGGAAGACGCCACAGCGAATTAAAATAGCAAAAGACTACAGATGCCTCAAGAATTTTGGACTCAAGGTAAACATACTGTGGACCCCAGGACATACAGCGCATGACGGGGGTAATGCTGCGGTGCATGCAGCAGCAGCCGTACAGGCACGCGGGACGGACCACACTTACGCCCCACCCCGCGCCCCGACAATCCAACACTCCAGACACCCTATCACCTGGACCCAACGAATGGCCCCAGAACAGGCATATAGTTTCCATGCAATGTATTCGTACCTCCATCAAGACCGCTAGAAAACAGCGTCTTGTGGAGTCTACACCACAGACGCCTGCCACCTGAGGACTTTCTAGGCAGCAAGAAGTTTTTTTTATAAATAAAGACATCGCAAACTCGGCCTGAACACCGCTCATAGTCAGTAAGTGGCAGTCACCACCTGTATCAGCCACACTACCAAAATGCAGCCATTGTCTCCAACGGTGTCGCGCAGATCTTTGGCATCTCATGAAGTACTGTCCTGCCTTCGCACAGGGCCAAAAACGTATCGACGACCTACACGTGACCTCTATTGCAGGTCACGCAGGCCGCAGGCAGGCTGCAAGGCCGCAGTGGGGGTTCCCCACTGCGGCCTTGAGCCATCCTTGTTATTAAAGGACTTTAATCAATCAATATAGCAATTAGCTGTAACGTCGTTGTGAAACTTAACATAGCTACCAACCAATGGCTGTGTTCCCTTGTCTCTACGTAGCCCTTTCCTATAGCGACGTTCTTAGTTGCCCTTTGGACTTGATATAAATGCCGTATAGTTGTCGTAAAGTTGGCGTAAAGGTAGCAGCTTCGCTGGGCCTCCATCTTCAAATAAAGTGGATGGGCTCTACAATTTTTTTTTCAGTAGTTTGAAATTTCAAAGGAAAGCTGAAGTGGCATTTCTTCACGTCCACTGAGTATGTGCTCTTGTAATTTTTTTTTTTATAAAATGTTGTTGTTGTTTTTTGTCCCTGGGACCTGGAAATTTTGATTTTTTCAAATAAATCTGACTAATAAAAAATTTACCACTTCGTTTTTTTGTTTCGTTTTAATATTATTTCGGATTTATCGGAAAACACGGAATCCCGAACTCCGCGGCGGGCAAGTTCGTCCGCTTCTTTTGCTGGAAGTTGCGTTGACGTCAGAAAGACGTCGAGCTCCGATTGGCTCCGACTGAAGGACAGTGGGTAGACCTCAATGCTATATGCCTTGCGGTCTACTCACTATCCTTCCAATCGGAGCCAATCAGAACTCGGCGTCTTTCTGACGTCACCACAACCTCCGCAAAAGAAGCAGACGAACTTGCGCTCCGCACAGCTCTTGAAGCAGGAAATCGAAAGAATCATGCCAGGTTTTGAGCGACGCCTTGAAAGTCTACAGAGGGAAGGTTAACTAAACTTCGCTTCACCTTAAGTTAATAGGGAGTTTTAGCGAGTCGTTTTTCAAGCACACGGTTCCGAAATCACGAACGGTGCAGCTGGTCCGTTCCGTGAAACCGTACGTGAAATTTCACATATTTTAGCAAATCGGGATACTGGCGCAATCGTGTAAACGATGATGATGATAGTGTTTAATGGTGGCGCCATCTTCTAGTAAACATGTGAAACATTCTGCAACGTGTAAGTCCGTGACGGCTCGTGTGTCCGGCGTACGCCTGATGTAAACAAGACGGCGGATGTATCATTTGCCGGTCGGAATTTCAAGAACTGCGAAGCTAGATAGAGTAATAAGTATCTGAACGAGCGTAAAGGTATGTGGTGTGTCTCCGTCATCTTGAACTCTAACGATCGTTGACGTTGTGTGCAATCGAACCAAATCATTTCGTCCGCTCGCGGTCGCCACGGCAGCTAGACTGCCCGCAGATCGCAAATATTTACTAGCATGCGCAGTTTACAGCATTCACAATCGCTTAGCGTTCTAAGCAGTCCTCGAAATGATTTGGTTCAGACTCTCGAGCGAAGCAGAGTAACAGGATGAAAAATCGCCTCCCGCTGTCCTAAGCCTAACGCTCGACTGAGTCGGCGAAGTCAATCGCCAAACCGACCGCCATCTTTTTTTTTTTTTTCACACGAGTTGTGAACGGTTGCTGGCTGCGTTGCGGTGACGACTCCAGCGGCCGGAATGGGAGAAACGAACGAGAAGAGCCTCCCGACCAGGGTGTAAGATAGGCAGGTGGAGAAACGGCCCATAGAAGCCTACCGCAACGCCGTGACCGGATTGTGTACTCGTCTGCTTGCGGGTACCCCTGACTTGCGACAGATGGCGCTGTGGCGAGAGGAGAAAAATCGGAATTGGATTTGCGTGGAACTTTATGGGAGACTGCGCAAAATAAACCGAGAGCACGATAGTCTTTCATTAAAAATCCACAAAAAACCATCTCCGTCAGTTTAGCCGGTCGCCACCGTTCGCCGACCTGCAGTGAGAGTTCGCGGTGCTCCACATAGATGGCGCCACAGAAAAAGAGAAAACCGAGGGGGACACAATGCGGTCACTCATTTGGCTCTCGTTTCCCCACCTGTCTATCTTACACCCTGCTCCCGACTCCCCGAACGACTCGCGCGCGCATGCGCAGTGGCGTCGCGGATGCGTTCGAGGGCGAACCGTTCGTGTGGAAGCGACCTGCTAAAACACCCTAATACCGCAGACAACGCTACGATTCGACGGAGCCAATCAAAAAAGTCCAAAAGTGCATCGTCACGGCGCTCGTGGTCTTTGAGCATTTTCTATCATCGCCTAAACGTGCACACGCAGTGAATGCGTCGTGATGCTGCGCTTGTTTTCTGCGTGTGCAGGATCGGTTTAACCATGTGTTTCAGACCAACTCAACTCGAGTTGAGTTGGTCTGAAGCAAGACGTCACTGATCAGTGACGTCACGCCAGTGTTGTGGCGCTGCTGTTGGTACTGCGCATGTGCAGACGCTTCAATCCTCCGGAGTTTGGCTTCTGCGCAGGCGCGGTGCCCACACCTGGTGTGGAAAAAACGGGCTTGTTTGAAAATACTGTCTTGGTGTAAAGCAAACAGACAAAGACGACTAGCGCCATGACGATGCAATTTTTGGCGCTTCTTGATTCGGCGCCATTGCGGATAGTAGCGTTGGCTACGGTCGGACTTTGTGTGAAACGGAGTATATTTAGGGTTCGGAGTTTTCGGTTTAAACCGATAAAAACCGATAAAAGTACGCCGAATCCATTTTCGGAAATTCGGTTTTAACCGAAAAAGGTCAGTTTTTAGGTTCTGCATTTTTTTTAAACCGATAAAAACCAATAAAAGTACGTCGAATCCATTTTTTTTTTTATTTAGTTTTAACCGGAAAAGGTCACTTTGACCTTCCAGTTGTACCACAGAGCCGTGGCGAAAAAGCAGAACCACAGTGTCTATCGGAACGTGTCCGAAGGTATGGGATACACGGGTGCCATCATGACGTTTTGGTTTAATGTGCACATCATCGATCGGAGCGTGAAGTCCGAAATGCCCCATACCTTCGCCATGTACGAGCGTGTTTTCAAACTCGTTGTAAGGAAGACTGACTTGATGCAAGCTCTGCATATTGTGTTGAGCTTCAAAAAGTCGCACCGTGTCTCTTTTTTGGCGGTCACAATTGGTTGATTGGCCGATTTCGGCTCAGGCAGCGCTTCATCTCCTTAGCCTGCCAGTGTCCAGTATTAGTGTTGAGAGGGCGTTCTCGAAGCATAGGGCCATAATAATAGGAAAGAAAGAGTGC